GTAACAGATCAAAATACAGAGCATAATCCGGTCTGGTCTTCCCTCTTCTAATCGACTCCTGCTCTTTCGCAATTGCATCTCTCAAAGGCTCAAACCAACCAAGAAACAAACCCTTCATATATGGCAAATTAGGAGCCAACTTATGCTCACACATATCCTTTAGAAGTTCCTTATATTCTTTCGCTGCCTGTTCCCATGCTTCAGCCTCAATCTTCACTTGTCTTCTCCTTAAGGCCTTATACTTCCCTGACCCCATTCCACGGTTAGAATGTAGCCTCCTCCTCCTCCTGAAGTCCTTCTCTTTCTCCTCTTCTTTCCTCGTTTCTTGCAACAATTCTTGCAATTCCTCATCAACAACAACATTATCTTCAACGTCTGTTGATGACACTGCCTCAGCTACACTCACATATCCTCTTGGACAAAACCCACTACACAGATTCCCATTACTACTATCACCATTTCTCAAAAAACCAAAACTAGGTTTTCCCATATAATCCTCATAGGTTGATATTTCGCTAATTCGGCGAAAACCCAGCTGTGGACTTGAGTTATTAACTGAATGGAACTTGGATTTCTCAAAAAAGATGGGTTCTTGAGGGGCTCCTAAAAAGCTGTGAGTTCTTGGAAATGATGGGAAACTGAGAGACTTTGATTGGGGTTTCAAAATGGCTTGTTTTGCAACGTTTCTCCACATAACTGTGGATGGTTTTGAACTGATTAGGGATAGAATTGAGGTTTTCTTATCAAAAGCAATCAAAGGATCAATTTTTTTGGTAGAGAATATATGGGGGTTGGCACTGGACATCAAATTTTTATGTTAAGAATTTTCAAGGAAATGATAAAAAAAAATGGAATTGAAGTGATTGGGAGATGAATTGAAATGTATTGGTGATGGAATTCGAGAAAATAATTGAATTCATGGAGGCAAGGGCATGGTATAGTGGCCGCCTTAAACCCTGCTTGAACCTTCAATGGGGTTTTAGCTAAATCGTCGTGTTTATTTTTGTCCATTGAATTCATTTCCGCAGTAATTTACATTGAATTCATAATTTTTTATAATTTGTTATATTTAAAATAAAAATTAAATTTATATATTATTAAAATATCTGTAAAAATAAATTAAATAGTAATGTTAATTATTTTATTTTTAATTGAAAAATCATTTTTTTTCCAATGTAAAAATAAACTTAATAGCCACAAAAACCAATCATTTTACAATGTAATATGGAAAGTAGTTCTCAACGTTGTGTGATATCAATATAGTCACGCATTTAACCATCTAAGTGATGGCCAAGTGGTAAAAGACTTGGGATCAAGGGGTTTGCTCCTTCTGTGATCTCAGGTTCGAGTCCTTGATTGCTCATATGATGGCCACTAGAGGCTTACATGGTCGTTAACTTCAGGGCCCGTGGGATTAGTCGTGGTGCGTGCAAGCTGACCCGGACACCCACAATAATCTAAAAACAAAAAATATAGTCACCCATTTTGACCCATGTATCTAGCTATTTGGGCCAATATCGAATTACTTTCGGTTGAGAACTAAAAGTTGAATGAAATTTTATAGAAATTTCAGGAATGATGATCTGAATGAACTTAAATTATTTTTATTAGCATGTAGGATATAAAATTAGAATAATTTATAAAATAAAAAATTATAAAATTACAAAACTTAAAACTCAATAATATAATCTCAAATAACAAAATTTTAAAAAAATATATAAAAAAACCTGAATCAATTCTAGTTAACTCAACTAACTCGCTACTCAAGATATGAAATCAGTATAAAAAAATTAATTTTTAAAAAATGATCTAGAAAAAAGAATTGAAATTAGATAAATAAATAAATAAACATTGAAAAAACTTAAGTCACTCCGGATTAACTTGACTAAATCGCTACCCAAAATAACCTAATAAAAAGAAAAAGCATACAAAAATTAGAAAAAATCAAGACCCAACAGTCTAATATCAAATGATGACATGGAAATAACATTAAAGAAAATCTTAAACAATTCAAATTAACTTTGACTAACCCACAACCTAGAATAACCTCATAAAATAAAATAAAATGATAAAAAAAAGTAATTAAAAAAAATGACTAAAATTGAATAAAAAAATGAATAAAATAAAATGTTGAAGGATTAAATTAGAAAAATAAATGAATGAAATAAAATATTAAGGGATAAAATAAAAAAATCAAAAAAAGTATTAAAAAATAAAAAAAAAGTATTATATTTGATAAAAAAAATTAAATAAAGCCAAAAGCAAAATAATAAAATTAAAAAAAATCTAAAAAAAATATATCAATCAAAAGAAAAATGACCATAATTGTTGGCTTACCCATCATCAATTTCAAGGACATAAAAGAGAAAAAAGAGGAATGGAGAAAAAAATCTCAATACCACAAATTTCATTACATACGCTGCCTTATCCTCTATGCCGCTCTGGACACTAAGATCGGATTGAACCATAAAATACAAACCCAAAAAAATTATGAAACCAAATTAATACATATAGAAGTAACAAAAATCCCTTACTCTATTTGTCTCCTTTCATGCATGCAAGATATATATATATATACACACATACACATACACACACACACACAAGCATGTTGAAACAACAAATCCCTAGCTATATGCGGGGATGACATCAAAATCATCTAGTAGCTTTAGATAAATTAAGCACATATCTTCATATAGATCCGTGAATAATACCGATGTTCATCAATCTAACACCTTCAAGTTATTTCAATATCAGTATCATTATGATTCCACCAAAATCCATGACATATGTTTCTTTTATTTCTACATATGACATATCTAAATTACTATTTAATAACAAATTGTTCTCACCATTGTATATGATATTATTGTTTATATCATAAACAACAGTGTCATTGTAATGACATAATATAAATATGTTATAAGACATCATGTAAAAATTAAATAAATTTGATTATGGTGGCATGGATGTAATTATAATTATATTATATTATCTTACCACTAAATGGAAAATTCGTAGAAAATACAATCAAATTCTCAATTTTAATTTTAAAGAAAATTCACTATAAACTAAACATGATTCATGATATGAAATCTAATTGATATTTTCATACTTAATTTCATTAGATCAAACCCAAATTAATAGAAAATTAATATAATTCAAAGAAAATACTAAATTCATAAACTAATCAACAATTCAATAAAATATATAAATCATTATAATTTTACTGCATTCATGCTCTCGTCTATAAAATTATTAAACATAGTTAATTATATTGGTAACTTATTCCAACAATACACATAAAATTTCTAATTCGACAATTTAACATCAGTTAAATGCAATGTATAATTAATTAAAGTTATTATTTCATAATTAATTTAAATTTTTTTCATGTTTAACTATATCAAATTAGCCCTAATTGATGATATTCTTAACTAATTCCATATTAATTCAAAAAAACCTTAAATTCACAATAAAACATAAATTTAACCTAAAAAATTATTTCATTTTAACTGACAAAACATAAATTCATAGTAATGTAGTATATTTACATTGTTTATAAGACTAGAAAAATGTTGGGGGTAGTAGTGGCAGCAAATAAAATGTTTGATTTTGCACACAAAAACATCCAATAATGCTTATAGATTAGGATGAGTTTGATTTTTGGTTATTTTAAAGGTAAAATGAAGGTGTTTGGAGGGTTTTTTAGAGAGATAGTGATGACGTCAATCATTTGGTCGAAAGAGGTTGTGTTTGTGTTTGTTCTACGTGTTTTTCAATCTAAGTTTAAATTTTAATTGATTTCGCATTTTAGAAACGCAAAATTCTAAGTCGTTGTGCATATAAAATGTGACATTATCTTATAATGCTTCTAAAATGAAACAACTACTAAATGACAACATTTACTAAATATTACATTTTGAAAGCGTGATAATATCAAAGTGTACTATTTTACTAAATCTTTTTCAAATGGTAATATTATGCTAAAACTTTAAGTTTATTGTTCTAACCTTTTTTTTTTTAAAAGAAAAGTTTATTTTTTTTCTTTTTTCTTATCTAAAATGGTAGTCTCTCTAATTTGGAAAAGAAAAAAAATGTATTTATAAGAATATTTTAGAACAATCTTTATTTGGTTTAAAATTTTAAAATAATCCTAATTTCGTAAATTGGCTTTTTCTAGTAATCTAGTACTAGGCTAGATGGGATAATGAAAAAAACTAGGCAATGATATCTATAAATTAGATCACAATATTCTAGCTCTCAATTTTATTTTATTTTCTAAAATTATTTTCACTCTTCATCTTCATCTTTATTTTTATTTTTCACTTTATACATTCACTCTTTTTTATTTTTTTTCCTTTTTTCATTTTGCACTTGGATTTCTCCTCCTCCTCCTCCTCCTCCTTCTTCTTTTTTTTTTTTCTATTTGCTTGAAATTAAAATAAAACATGCAAATATATATATATATATATATATATATATACATAGAAAATAGCTAAATTTTGAAAATTTGGATAAAGTTTACTGAAAATGCATTTCTTTAGATTTTTTATATTTTTCTGAAAAATATTTTTAAAAAAATAAAAGTAAAAACAATTTATGACAAACATTATGCATAACCACAAGTATATAAAATCAGTATTTTATGTAATTGAATAGAATTTTAAGAAATTATTTGATGCAGCTGTTGAATAATTTTTTTATTAAATTTTAATCTTTTATGTTAAAAATAAAATTTTAAAAATAATAAAAAATAATATTTTAATATTATATTAAACGAAAAGCAAGAATAATCAAAGATTGATCTAGCATACCTTGTCATAGAGCTCGTCTCGTGGCCCTTCGGTTAGGTAGCATGCACAAGAAGAAAAGGAGGAAGGAGACAACTCTAGTAGAAACAAGGAGCACAACCTTAATATAATCAGAAATTAACTCCTTAAGCTCAACAGCTAACAACCACATTGCACTGTTAATAAAACAGCAAAAAAACTGGCGTCAAGAACATCCAAGTGAAGACGATCAAGATCGAACAGTGGACAGTTAATCCTAAATTGAACAGAAAATAAGCAATTAATCCCTAAGACGTATCTGGGTCCCTAGCGAGTGAAAAAAGAATGAGCCCGTAGGCAGCTTAGAGCGACACATAGGGCATGTAGTGCTCTTCAGCAACCACTTGACAATGCAATGAGGATGATAGACATGAGAGCAGGTGGTGGTAGCAGCTTCAGACGCAGCAGGGAAGTCTTGTAAGCAAATTGCACAGCACAAGGCTTCATTAGAACCCACATTATCCTCGTCAATCTTAACCTTCTTCAAGCATGGGATAGGTGGTTTGCAGGCTTGTAACACATGAAGAAGAGGGTTTTCCACAGTATCCCAGGAAACCTCCTTATCTTCATCGACATGAATTCCAGTCACGACATTAAACTTGGCATAATGGCTTGGTTCGGATGTAATAATGCACACAAATATATGGTCAGCTTGACTAGGCAACGAGTAAGCAACACGGGATACGAGTTCAATTAGGTCAGCTTTTACCGTCGGAGATAACCTGATGCCTATGCTCCTGAGCAAACGCCTGTATGTGCGTTCTTTCAAACGATCCCACACCAATTCCCCTCGCTTTACCGGGAATGACTGTCTAGATTTGACCGGCGAGGAGCCGTCGCATGATTCCTTGACAATGATGAACTCTACTGTGATTTCTTTAGCAGAAAATTCACAACAATTGGGAGAATGTTTTGAGGGCTTCATGATTTTGCCTGAGCTTATTGCTCGAGTTGAAGGAAATATTTATGCGGTACATAGTGAGAAACTGTCGGGTTAAGGTAGGATTTTATATAGAATAGGGCTCTTACCAGACGGTTCAAGGAATCAATCCATGTCTGTTTTGAATACGGAATTGCAAGAGCAAGCTGTCCAAAATAGCCGTTATTGCATGAGCAACTGTTTAACCGTTCTCCGGCTCTGGCTTCCCTTTTCAGACAAGGAAACCCAGTAAAATAAATCCTGATTTCAAAAGAAAAAGAAGAAAAAAAGGAAGGTAGAAAAACACTGCCACTGTAAAATCCTGGCATTATTTTTCTTTAATGACGTTTCGGCTAGGAATCAATACCTCAAAACCAAATTTAATACTTTGATTCCCAAATCTCAGCCCAATCAATAATAATAATAATAATAATAATAATTACATATTTTTTTATTTCCTAATTTTACCACTTTGAAATATATTTTAACCTTCCAAAGCCCTGAACTTGCCAAGCTTAGCCGGTTAAAACTATCTAGATCCAACACGATTCCTTCTTATAGAAGCTTAAGACTAAATCAGGTGGGAGGAATTAATAGTCCCCCAGATAGCAATATATCTTACAGTTAACAATCATTTAATACACAATCATACTCGACCCTCGAGCATCGAACTAAAACTAATGTCCAAGTAAATATGAATCAATCTAAATCCATTGCATGACAAGACCTGATAGAACTGTAATTTTAATAATAAAAAACAATATTACTATAATTTGACTTGTGATCTCGATTCCAGAATGATGGAGAGAACAGAACATACTAAGTATATTGTTTTAAAAGCCTATTTTTTAGAATTGAAATAAGGATTGCGGTTTGAAATATTTTTAATTTAAAAATATATTAAAATAAAAAATTATTTTTTAAAATTTTATTTTTACATCAAAACAATTTATATTTAAAAATATAAAGAAACATATTTTAAACAAAAAAAAATATTTTTAAATTTTTTAAAAACACTGTTTAAACTGCGTTTTCAAACAGATTATAAGATAAAACTAACAAAAAAGTTTTATCAAAAAAAGAATCTGGAGGCTTTAGGTTAGTAGATCTTCAACTGGAATAGCTGTGCCCTTATAAACCAAAAATCAGTCATGATGTCTCGCGCCACAGGCATTAGTACCAGAAAGATAACAACTGCAATGTTGTCTTCGTCTGGCAATATTAAATAATGGTGCCTATCAGCTACCATACTGTTCTACCCTGAGAAACGAAAGAGTACTTGATTTTGCACTAGAAGTAATGGTCATCGAGGATGCATGCTGGATTACACAGAATGACAATGGATAAAGCTGTTTGAATTATGCATTGTAAACATTAACAAAAAAGGGACCCTCTCCGAGTTTCTTTTCGGCAATATCCAAACAACTCCACCGACTTTATTCTAGCAGATAACAGAAATCACCCACCACCTATGTTGGTATAAGAGTAACAATCAAGTCCTCACTAGAGCAGAAGACAGATAGTAATTTCTCATTCCTTGGCAGTTGTGTCCTTCAGAAATCCTCACCATATAAATAACAATGGAGATTTCTCATTCATTGGTAGTTGCATCCTCAGATGCACTCCCTGCATCTGCATATAAAGAAAAGGACAGTTGAGTTTCCTTGGCCTTTGAGAGAAAATCAGACCGAGAAAAGAGATCTATAGCTTTGTGTAACATAATGATGACTGAGCATACCTTCGCCATCAGCTGGGGCATAAGGAGACTTCCGGTATCGCGTTTGCTGTTGTGTAGGCTGGAAAACAGAGAGATAATACACAAATAAGCACCCAGTACGAAATATGCTAGCATTATAGCACTAACACAATGGCCAGCAGGAAAGGCTAAAAAAAGGTACTTCCACTCATAAATATAAACTAACACGTGGAAAACCCAAAACCATTTAGGATGTCTGCCAATCTGCATTTTTCTTGAAAGTAACTAAGCAAAAAAAGGCAGGGAGGAAATCACAAGCACAGCAGGAGTCATCATTCATGGTTCTTTCAAATTCACTGGAGGCATTATATCTGTGTCATGCCTCAAAAGAGAAATATCCATGTGCTTGTTATGTTGCCTTTCCCTTTAAATAAATTAAATAAGGATTTAAAGAAAACAACAAAACCATAGTTCAAAGTTATTGAGGAACTTTGCTTCGAGCAATAAGTAGACAGCTTCAGTTCTGTTGATCAGAATAAAATGGAAAAATCAACCTTAAATCTCTGCAACTGTTTCCTCAGCCAAAATAGAAATACTCCAAAAACAGTAGGAGTGAAGAGACTTTAAATTTTAGGATGGAAACACCCTCCAACTCAAATATCTAACACACTACCTCATCCAATTTATGATCGTTTCCAGGTGATTTTAGAAGGTGGAGATCTTAGAAGCAGCACAGAAAGCCCCTTTTCCACTTCGAGTTGTGTGGATTAAGGTAGATTGTTAAGCATTATTTTATCAGGGGACCTCACTTTTTCCAGCCTAGAAGTTACCAGGTTTGGAGTGAGATCTTATGGGGTGCAATAGAGTGGTGCTCTGAAACCCATTAGTGCAAAGCAGAAAGGTTAGTGGGAACATAATCTCCAGAAATTGTTTTCAGGGGACCGTGAATGAGACAGCACTGAGTTGGGAAGGTGATGCCTAATGCTTTATAGATTTGCAAAGGAAATAGCACAACCAAATCTTTCCACATGATGACTACTTAAAGGAATAATCTTATTGGAACAACATTAATGATTGATAAACTCAGTGATGAGAGACAGTTTGCTTCTGTAGGAACAAATGCATTATCATCCAAAACCTTATCAAGGAACTACAAAAGGAATCGCTTTAGAAAACACTGGAAGCATCAAAACCAAAAGAGTGGACAGTCATTAATAATATCTAAAATGGTAATAAATCAAGTTGCACATGTCAATAGTTATTATTGTAAAGAATGTATGAGCTTTATGCAGTATTGTCAGTCAGAAAATTAAAAGAAACACCTATTTTCAATTTATGAAACTTTGTTTGAACAAACATCCTAGAATTGGCTCAAAATAAATGCTTGCTTTTTCTCGGTAATCTCTGCTTGGTGAAGAAGTCCTTTTTTCTATTTCCTGGCTTATCAAGGGGAGAACATCCAAGAAAATATAACATAACACAATTTCTCCTTTGTATAGCTTATCCATTTCACCTGATTCCACGTTTATATACATATATGGTGGCACAGAACCCCTCCCTCAGAATATTCATTTCCATTCATCTGTTTTTTTTTTTTTTTTTTTGAGACTACAAGCTGTGGAAGAACACTGGCAGAAGTCACAGACCATTGACAAGTTTCATTTGTTCACCTATATCCCATTGCGAGCTCAAGAAAAACCTAAAACTAACTTCAATTGAGCATGAGCAGGCCAATTATCTCAAGGTAAAATTAACATTCTCATACTCCATAAATTTAATGCATCTTTTGATAGAACTGACTTAATTCAAATGATTTCCTTCTTTTAAACAGGCTTCCAGATTTCAAAATAAAAAAATACTTAACACCTTCAGTTTTCGAAATAAATGAATACCTAGATTTCTTATATTTGTTATCACCAAAAGCTCATAACACATAAGTAGTTGTTTACTTTTGCATGCAGATCCTCAACTCAGCCAACATAATCTAGGAAAATATCTGGCTTCTATCATCACTCATTTTTCAGGTTTACAATAATTTGTTTGAAAATCACCAAAGTGGGCAATGCAAATTTAGTACAAGGGGAGTATAGAATAGAGCACAAAAGAAGGACAGACTGAATAGGAGAAAAAACAATTCCAAAGAACCAGAGCATGCAAAGACATATTCAACAAGGACCAAAAGAAATAACTAGTCCTTTTTATAAGGGACACACAGAAAATGAACTTCTTAAGAGTCCCAAACTTGATTTTTCTTACAGGTCCAGTACCTCAAGAGCCCAGGCAATCCTCTCCGCTCCTACAACCTTTCTATCTCTACCATTTTATCAACTCTTACTTCAACATCGTAATATAGTTTCCAGCTTCACTTAACTCTATTGGTTAGCTATCTAGTAGACCCTCAGAGAAAACTTCCAATGAGACCACCAGCTCTCTACCATCATAAGAAATCAACAGCCACTTATTCAGTCTAGTTTATCTTATATCACCCACTGACAGTTGAACATAAGCACAGCTAAAGCACAACAAGCATTCACATGATTTCTTCTTAGGAGAAAGAAGACAAAAAGGAGATAAAGAATGGATCGGCGAATATCATTCACATATATACCTGTAATTTAGGCCGAAGCGCTTCGAGAGGTCCTTTAGGCTTATCAACACCTTGCTGTTATAGTTCAATATCATCAAATGGTATCAGGTAACCATCTTAATGCAGTCAGTTTTAAGTAAAACAACAGAAACAATCCGTGAAACCAGTACCTTTCCAAGTGCCCAATCAGCAGAATCAAAGTAGGCACGCTCATGGTCCTAACATCCAAATCATAACTTTAGACACAAACCAGCACAGAGCACAATATGTATCAAGAGTCAAGACTTGGTAATAAGGAGTCACCTTAGAAATGAGAGGTGGTTTCTTAGGCAAAATTCCTCCATATTTCTTCTTCACGACTTCCTCCTACATATAAGTGTATATAAAGAAGTTGATGAATGAGTGAAAAATTCTTCCAAAATAAAGTTTTTTAATCATGTCTTCAATAAATCATGCATATGCAGGAAAACAAAACACCTCTTGTTTAGATGAAGGCATGGAGCTTTTATCCTCGGAAAGATTTCCGTCAACCTGATCTTGCTTGTTAACCTCCATACCTGAACCAACCGTAATGGCATAACAGTTGTCATCATGAATAAACATCTTACTCACATCAATAGATGCTCCTTCCACGCATACAAACTTTTAACCAAATCCGGAGAGAGCAAATTTTAGCAAACTTGAAAACTACTTAACAAGATGCTTGCTACTACAACACTAACCAAATACGGCAACTCCAAATCTAACCTATTGTTATGAATTCCAAACATTCCTTCATCATACCATCAAAGTATCCTAATCATTCCGAACTCTTATACGCACATGTGCAACATTTATAAATGATTCTATAAAATCAGTGCTAAATTACATTATAATTATCAAATTTTATTTACTTTTATTATTCTTCTCTCATGACCCAAGAGAGAAGAATCATAAAATAAGCACAGCACTTAATGAATTATTTGATCCAGGAACCTTTCCAAAAATCCAAAGCAAACTAAACACAACAATAAACACAATCAAGACCTAAAACGCATAATAATGTAAACAGCCTAAGTAGAATAATTGAATATAGAAAAAAAAGTAATGAGAAAAAATATCTCTCTCTATTAAAAATCAAATCTGCCTAATTAAGACCTATTTAGCACGAAATTGATAAAAAGACAAACAGAAGAGAGATCTATTTTATCAAATAACAAACAAAAATTGTATGCAGCTAAATAAAAATAAAAGTAAAAGACTTTAGACACAAAAAAGAAGCGAAATGAGAATTCAAAATTCTTATTACCAATTACGAGCTTCTTGCGCCGGTTTCAAATGTAGAGAGAGAAGGAAGACAAAGAGAAAGAGAGGATTATTCACACAAGGATAATATTGTGATGTTGAGATCTGGAACGCGATCTTGATGAGGTACGCTATCTTTTACACCTGATAGATTTCTCCATATTTCGTTATGGTCCTACTTGTCTCTAAGTTTTCAATTCTATTCCCTGTTTATTAGTTTGTTCGATTTAAAAATAAAAAACTTAAAATAGAAGGTCAAGAGAGGAATTCTTTAGCCGTGTCTTTAAACCAAACCAATCAATGTTGAAATCTCTTATCCTAGCTCCTTGTCTTAACTCAAGTTTCCAGTACGTTAATTTCATAAATTTAAACATATTTTTGATAAATAGTAAAAATATAGCTTAATTTATTTTAAAAAACTTTAAAAATATAATTTAAAAAATATTAAAATAAAACTAAATTGAATTGATCTTAATCATAAGAAGATTCAGTCATAGACTTTACTAAGTATAGTAATCTTGATGCTTTTAATCTATTTTTATTTAATTATATAAAAAAATAGATATTTATAAAATTAAGTATTAATCTTAAAATAGATATTTTATTTAAGATTATAATAACCATGTATAAAACAAATAAAAAAAATTATAAAATTTATTTTTTAATCAATTCAATATTAAAAAAAAATGGAATAAAAAAATTAATTAAAAAAATAAAGAATCAATATTTAAAAAAATAAAACATATCATGTTCAATGAATAAACAAGTTAGACTCATAAATTAGGTAATCTGGGTTAATAAGTCAAACATGTGAATGTAGTCATAAATTCCACTAGGATTAGTAACTTGTTTTTTTTAATATTATTTATTTAATTATATGATAACAAAAATATACAATTATAAAATCAAGCATCAATCTAATACAAGAATATTTTGAAAACAAATATAATAATTTTATAGAAAAAAATAAAAAATAAAAAAATTAATTTCTAGTAAGCTAAATATTAAAAGATGAAATTAAAAATAAATAATTTTATAAAGAGAAAAAAAAGAGTTAAACCTGTTAAAACCTGTAAATAAGTTCATGGGCTTTATAAAATTTAATAACATAGTTTTTTTTCAAAACTAATTTTTTTAACTATTTTATAAAAAATAAAAGATTATAAAATTGATTTCAATAATAAAAAAAAAAAGAAAAAGAAAAGTACCATGCTTAGCCATAAATTGAGATAACTAAGGTTAGCTTGTTAAATTTTTTTTTTAAAATATATTTTATTTAATTATTTAAAAAAATAAATTATGTTGTGATGTCAAAATATTTTTTTTATATCAACTTAATTTTGAAATATTTCTCTGATATCACTATAATTATATAAAAAATAAATTCTCAATTATAATAAAATTAAATTTAAATTATAAAAATTCAATAACAAACAAAAATCAAAACAAACAAAAATAAAGAATAAAATATTATAAATTAGTGTTGTAATCTACAAATAAAATTATGGGATGTAATAGTATTTTTTTTTCAATACCTTTTAGCTTTTATTGCAATGTAATGCATGAAATAAATATTTTGTAACGAAATTTTCGTAAATTATTACAAGTAAAAACCGCTAGAAGAAGGTTGGATAAAATCATAATGGAAAAATAACCCTGGATTTGCTATAATTTATTATATTTTACTTATCTCTATTATTTTCAAAAATAAAATTTACATTCTAAATCAACTTAATTTTTAAATTTAAATAAACTCCCATATATAATATAACCTAAACAACCATGATTTTCTATTAAAAATAAAACTTCAATGGAAGACCAGCCCCATTTCTCCATCACTCCACGTCCTCCTTCTCTCCCCAGTAAAGATCACACCAAAAAAATCCACGAATTCCAGCCAGAAAATTGCTTTGACCAACAGAGCAAGGGCAAATACCTCTTTGACCAACCAACAGTCGCCCTCAATCTGAGCCAAAGATTTAGAGTCATCAAAGGCGTAGCTTTCGGGCTGTTTTATCTGCATAAAGAATGGGAGCAAGTTGTGATTCACAGAGATGTCAAGGCTAGTAATGTCTAGCTATATGGTGAATTGAATGGAAGATTAGGGATTTTTGCCTTGCAAGATTGTAGGAGAATGGATCCTCAAATGTTATGAGAGAAATACTTGAGGTGCTAATCTGTATTGAATCCAGTGATGGAGGGTACTGAATGAAGTGGGGAAGGTAGAGACTGGAACTGCGAGGTTCAATATTTAACCTTGGTAGCTGTAAGATATAGCTAGCAGAGAGTAATGTCATTCGTTTTTAATTTTATTTTTGTGTGTGTATTGCTATGCATTTTTTTACATCAATTTATAACTAAATAACAGTTTTAGAATATTTCCACACCTACAGAGGTGTGGAATGTTCTTAACAAGTGATGTATCATAAGAAAATAAGTAAAAACAATATGTTCCAGGGAAATAAGTAAAATGGTGCATAGGGAAAGTAATTAATTTGAATTTGAACATCAATCTTCTTCTTGTCCCTCCTTTACTGATAACAATTACCACCAGCTGATGCAACTTGAAAATTCACTAATGAGTTGAAGCACTTGCATGGTAGCCTCCCAATCCAATGTATGAGCACTTGCATGGCAACTTGGTTGTTTTGCCTAGCCATTCGTCTTTCTAGTATGGCTCTGGGTTGCAGGGAAGGACCATGATGCATAATAGGAAGAGATCTCTACACGACTTGATTTCCTACATGGTTTTTGAATTGGGAGATATGGAACATGGGATGAATCATGAAAGAGGGTGGCAGATCGAGTTTCTAGGCTACAGTACCCATCTTCGCAACCACTTGGCAAAGACCATAATATTTTACAGCTAACTTTCATGATGATCATCTGCTTGAAATATATTGTTGTCTATATAGCTATAGTTTTAGATATATATAGTCTTTGACTTCAAAACTTTTATCACTTCATTTCTTGTTTGCATTAGTGATCATTCTGTTCTGAGCGATTTGGAGATGCCTCCTAACTCTGTTAATCACCTCCTTTTTCGTGTTTAGATATTCATTTACTATGTCACTGCTGAATCCTTAAGAAAGTAGGGAATGTGTATGGTAGGAGGGGACATATACACTACTTCGTAAGGCGTCATCTTGGTGGCTGAATAGTAGTTGGTATTGTACCACCACTTCGCTAGAGGTAGCCACCTTACCTATTGATTGGGACAATCACCTGTCATGCATCTCAAGTAATGCTGTATGTATTTATTAATAATTTTTATTTGACCGTCAGTTTACGGGTGATAAGTTAAAGAATAGTACAGGTTAACTCCTTGAATATTGAACATCTCCTTCTAAAATTTACTAAGGAACACAGGGTCCTTATCGCTGGTGATAGAAGCCGGCAATCCATGGAGTTTGTGTATGTTTTTCCATAAATACTTTGGCTATCATAGGAGCAAAATATGGGTGGCTTAGTGTTATGCAGTGAGTATACTTACTAAATCGATCCACCACTACCAAGATGACATCCTTTCCCTCTGATTTAGGTAAACCATATATGAAGTCCATAATGATGTCGATGAATGGTGCAAATGGGTTTGACAGTGGCTGTAGAAGTCCTGGGTGGCTATATTTTCATGCCTTTTTCTTTGGCAAATACTATATTCCCTAGTGTATTGCTTTATCTGCTTCTGCTGTCCCTTTCAATAGAATAAGCTTCCAATAGTCTTAGTACTAATCATCATCCCTGAGTGTCTACCCATGACTGAATTGTGGAACATAAAGATAAACTTACTTTACAGTTCATCATTATTACCTACCACCACATTTCCCTTCCTATTAAGATGATCATTCACCCAAGTGTAGTGTGGATGAAAGGCAGGCGAATGTTGTAGATCCTTAATGATATTTTGTATAGCAGGGTCACTAGAATAAGACTATTTGATCTCCTCCATTAGACTAGTAGAAATGGTCAAAGTTGTCAAAGCATAGAGTTCCTTGATTAGAATCCTGGAGAAGGCATCGACAAGGACATTCTCTTTCCCTTGCTTGTATTTAATGTCATGATCAAACCCTAAAAGTTTAACTAACCATAAATGTTGAGCTAGAGTTGCTAACTTCTAGTGTAGGAGATACTTGAGGCTAATGTGGTCTATTTAAATATGGAAGCGCCTTCCTCATAAATAATGTTTCCACTTATTAACTACATGTAGAATCACTGACATCTCTCTCTCATAGACAAACATGTTTTATTGCTTTGGCCTTTAGGATTTGCTTATGAAAGCAATGGGATGCCCCTCTTGTATTAGAACTGCCCTTATCCCTACCTTGGACACGTCTATTTCCATTATAAATAGTTTGTTGAAATATGGTAAAGCTAAGACTGGAGCACTTGTCATCAATTTCTTTAAGAGAGCGAACACATGTGCAGCCTTTTCATTCCACCTCATGGCTCCTTTTTTTAATAGAGAGGTTAATGGCTTCGAAATGTTGTCATAACCTTTAACAAACCTTCGGTAATATCATGTCAATCCCAATAATCCCCTAAGCTATTTTAAACTTAGAGGAATATGCTAATCTAAATTTGAATGTACCTTAAGAGGGTCAGTTGCAAAACCTTGAGTTAAAATAATGTGGCCCTAATATTCCACTTGTCTTTTGCTGAAAAAACATTTGTTAGCCTTGACAACTAACTGGTCCTCTCTCAATATTTTCAGGAATATCTTAAGGTGCTTATAATGATTAGATAAGGTCCGACTATAAACTAAAATGTCATCGAAAAATACCATAATAAACTTCCTTAAGTGATCCCTGAAAACTTCATTCATAAGACTCTGGAAAATGGCTACGGCATTGGTTAGGTTGAAAGGCATGACAAGGAATTCGTAATGACCGCTGTGAGTTCTATAGGCTATCTTAAATTCTTCCCCTATAGTATTCTGATTTGGTGGTACCCTGACCTAAGATTGATCTTGTAAAAGGTTGTTGCTCCCACCAATTCTTCTAACAACTCTTTGATCATTGGAATGGGGTATTTATCTTTGATGGTGAGTTTGTTTAGTGCCCTATAGTCCATGCAAAACCTCTATATGGAATTGACATGATTAAAAGATTGATGTCTTCTCCCAAGTGCAGAAGTGTCGAAGTAATAAATAACCTGGCAAGATCGGGGTCGAACC